GATTGCGTCTGGATTTACACCCGTGAACGCTGGCTCGAGTGGTTTCACTGCCGTCAATCGATCACCATCTTTCGTGGCTGTGAATAGTGGCCCCACCGTAAAGCGGGAAGCAGACAATGGCTCTCTCACCCCCAAGAGTATCGCTGAGCATCCGGCCAATCCAAGCGCCGCTTCCAATGGCCATGCGGGTCCGCCAATGAAGCGCGCGATCAGCCACGAAAGTGCTTCGCACGCTGAAAACGGTGAAGTTGATGCTAATGGTCGACGGAGCAAGCGACTTCGGAAAGGTATGTACATGCCTATAAAACTGTAGACGTAGTAGTCGCTGTCTAACCCTTCTTGCTCAGATGCGCCCCTGCCCACTGTATCGGGCTCACACATGAGCCTCCTGCGTCCTGCACCACCTCGGCAACGCAAGAGCGATCACCGGAAGACTGGTGATGTATGTTACTCTTCATTGTTACATAATCTCAGTGCTAACATTAGCCAGAAATGCGAAATATGTGGAAAATCGGAGGAACGCTCGTCGATTCTAGTGTGTGATAGTTGTGATCATGGGTATCACAAATCCTGTCTGGATCCACCCCTGACCACAGTCCCTGAGTATGACTGGCATTGCCCCAAGTGCCTGGTCGGTACCGGCGAATTTGGCTTCGAAGAGGGTGGCGTGTATTCGCTCAAGCAGTTCCAAGAGAAGGCGAACAACTTCAAGAAAACCTACTTCGCCTCCAAGATGCCTTTTGACCCCGTGCTCAACACTCACCGACGTGAATCTGAGGATGATGTTGAGCGTGAATTCTGGCGACTGGTAGAGAGCTTGACGGAGACGGTCGAGGTCGAGTACGGGGCGGATATCCATTCAACTACGCATGGAAGTGGTTTCCCCACCATTGAACGGAATCCGCTGGATCCCTACTCGGTTGATCCTTGGAATCTGAACGTGATGCCTTTCCACGGAGACTCCCTGTTCCGCCATATCAAGTCTGACATCTCCGGCATGACTGTCCCTTGGGTCTATGTTGGCATGTGCTTTTCGACGTTCTGCTGGCACAATGAAGACCATTATGCTTATTCGGCCAATTACCAGCATTTTGGCGCCACCAAGACTTGGTACGGCATTCCCGGGGCGGATGCCGAGGCATTCGAGGAAGCCATGCGGCAGGCGGTACCGGAGCTGTTTGAGGGCCAACCCGACCTTCTGTTCCAGTTGGTCACGCTAATGCCCCCGGATCAACTGAGAAAGGCCGGTGTTAGGGTGTATGCACTGGATCAGCGGGCGGGTCAATTTGTGATCACCTTCCCGCAGGCATACCATGCCGGGTTCAACCATGGCTTCAACTTTAACGAGGCTGTTAACTTTGCGCCCGCGGACTGGGAACCCTGGGGTGCCATGGGGGTGCAGCGCCTGCAAGATTTCCGTCGACACCCGTGTTTCTCCCATGACGAGCTCCTTTTGACAGCTGCAGCTCGTGATCAATCTATCACCACGGCCAAGTGGTTGGCACCAGCACTCCAGCGTGCCTGCGCGCGGGAATTGAGCGATCGAGCGACATTCGCCACCCGACATCGGGAGCTGGCTCCGCACAATTGCACCCTGTATTCTGAAGACCCTGCAGCTACTGGGAATTGTCAACTCAAGTTTGTGGTTGAGGAGGAAGACCTGCCCGAGGATGATTATCAGTGCCAGTATTGCAAGGCCTATACTTATCTAGCGCAGTTCCGATGCCATAAGACTGGGAAGACTGTGTGCCTGCCCCACGTGGAAACGTATGATTGTTGTGGCGAACCGCTAACACAAAGGTTAACTGGCCCGGACCACACACTGCGCTATCGAATAGGTGACGATGCCTTGAAGGCCTTAGTACTAAAGGTCCAGGAACGCGCCAGGATCCCGGAGGCCTGGGGAGAAAAGCTCGACAAAATGCTGGAAGACGAGCCGAAGCCCCAATTGAAGGTCCTTCATAACCTACTTAATGAAGGTGAGAAAATCCCATACCATTTGCCTGGTCTCCAAGATCTCGCGGCTTTCGTCCAGCGTTGCGATAAATGGGTTGAAGAAGCAACCAATTACATTACCCGGAAGCAGCAGAACCGGAGGAAGAACGAGAAGGCGTGGCGCAAGGGGACTTCTAAAGCTGCGCAGCTGGAAGAACGTGATCGTGAAGTTCGCAGAGTAGAAAACATCTACGCCCTTCTTGCAGAGGCTGATAAACTGTCGTTCGACTGTCCACAGATGGCGGCTCTGGAAGAGAAGACCCGCGAGATCGAGAAATTCCGCCAGGACGTTAACGTTGCCCTCATGAACCCCAACATCCGATCGGTCCAGGAAGTCGAGGATCTGGTGGAATCCGCGCGCAATTTCAACGTGGATATACCCGAGGTTGAGGGACTAGAGCACATACTCCGGCAAATGAAATGGAACGAGGAAGCCCGTCGCAAACGGGATCGGTACCTGACTTTGAAGGAATGTCAGGAAATCATCCAGGCCGGCGAGCAACTAGGATTATCGGAGACCAACGACCACCTACTCCACTTCAAGGATCTGTGTCGCCACGGTGAGGCCTGGGAAGCAAAAGCCAAGGAGTTGATGTCCGTAGAAGCCGTTCACTACCAGCAACTCGAGGCTTTGTCTGCGCAGGCATCCCGGTTCCCAGTGTCCCCTGATACCCTGGCAGCTGTAGACGCAATTTTGACCAAACAGCGCGAAGCGCAGCGCAGGATCCAGAGTCTGTATGACCGGAGCCGGGATCCGGATTTTCGCAACCGTCCCAAGTACAAGGAAGTCCGGGAGCTCATGGATTCTCTGGAGGAGTTGAACAGCCGGCCCACTGGTGCGATTGACCTTGAGCGTGAGCAAAAGCGTCATGAGGATTGGATGAGGAAGGGCAAAAAATTATTTGGCAAGGCGAATGCCCCGCTGCACATTCTGAAGTCACATATGGAGTATGTCGAGAAGCGCAATTCATATTGCTTCGACCTGGAAGATCGCTGTCGGCCGCCTGTCGAACCGGCATCGCGAGATAATACCCCAGATGGTTTGCTAGAAAGTACCAGCACTCCAAGTATGTGGGGTGGTGGGAAGTCGCGGAAACGGGATGTGTTTTGCATCTGCAGACACTCGGAAGCTGGCATGATGATCGAGTGTGAGGTTTGTCACGAATGGTAAGTTTGTTGATGCTTTTTCGAAGAGGGATATACAATGCTTACTTCGTGTGCAGGTACCACGGCAAGTGTCTGAAGATTGCAAGGGGCAAGGTCAAGGAATTTGACAAATACACGTGCCCGATCTGCGACTGGCGCCAGAAGATCCCTCGAGATGCTGCCCGGCCCAAGTTGGAGGATCTCTTGGAATGGCAGGCTGAGATTGCTGGTCTGCCTTTCCAACCGGACGAGGAGGAGATCCTGGATAATATTATCAACCAAGCCACGACCTTCCGGGACTTCCTCCACAGCTTCACCAATGCTGCTTGCACCACTACGGAGGAGGTCCCCACGTTGATCTTCTACCTGCGGAAAATTGAGGGCGCGGAGGTTCTCCTGGCATATGAGACGAATTTCTTCCGGCAAGAGATCCATAAGTGGGCGCCTGTTGCCCCCGAGCCTCCGCCGATCCTGGAACAGTCGCTCTCCACTCGGAAGCCCCGCCCCACGAAGCAGCAGAAGATCATGGCTCAGCTCGGCGTGGAGCGGCCTGAAGACCTGCCTCCTCACCTTCGCACTAAGCAGCCCAACTTTGCCAAGCGCAAGTCAATTGAATCTCAGACTGGCCGCCCTTCCATACTCCAGACGCCCGGCGACGGCTCGAATTCGGATTCGGGCCGCAGTGGTCCTACGCTGACACCGATGGCCGATGCTCCAAACCCGCCGTATCCTTTCTCTGCAAATTACTCACTTCCTGCCACCGAGTCCACCCCAGCGTTTGCACCAGGCTCCTCTGCGTTCTTACCTCATGTTTCGGCCGATTCGCCGTCGTTCCCTCCGCGTTCTCCCACACTACCACACCAGGGTTTAGACACGTCCCTCTTCAGCTCTCCTCGGTATACCCGAGACCACAATGACGCGCCTCCCGGAGTGGATGTGGACAGCCGTGATCCTTTCGACAGCAGTCCTCGCCAGAACCTCGATGATGTGTTCGCCGACCTGACGAACCAAGATCAGGATCCGGACCAAGAACCTGAACCGGAGCTTATGGAGAACACGCACGCCAACGAGGCGCTTGAGGTTCTCGACGTGAGCAACGGGGATGACTCTGATGGCTTGCCTGATGCAGACTCTCCTGACCACAAATTCAACGGTGACACCAACGGCCATGCCGAGGCAGACGACCGTGCTGATGAGCTTTGATCGAACCTTTCCTACCGATAGTCCAATTTTTTTTTTCCTCGACCAACTTGACCGATGGTATGTTTAGTGGGTTCATGGGGATGTCCGAAATTTCTCTTTCTCAAACTGTCCTCTTTCCTTAACCTTTTAACGTTGCATGACACGGCATTCTGCGGCGTTTCCAGACTTGCTGGTGGCTTTGTGTTGTTCCTGGATTGTTAACGGTGTTGTTGTTCACTGGGATGCCAGCTGTTTTGCTCTTAAGTCTTCTTCGATTCGCTCGGATGGGATATCTATCCTGTTTAAAATTTATGTTGTGGTTTGTGGTTTGTGATCTGTACGAATTCAGTGTACGAAGACAACGGAGACCTGGCTAGTCCGTCTCCGCATTGCGTGGTGTTTTTCTGTCTTCTCTATTCTTATTTCATAGTTGTTTGTGTGTGATTTCACTGTTCCTTCTTCCAAGGGGTGGCTTTTGTTTTCTCAGGCCAATGTACACTGCTGTCTTTGCGCTTTCTCCAGTTATTTTTATTTTTCAGTCAGTCGCTCGATGAGCGCGTTCGATGTGTCATTAACCAACAATCGTTCAATACAGTAGACCTTATTCCTCAGCCTATGTGCACTGACTCTAATCAATATCTACAACCCACACAGCCACCGCAAAAGCAAATATGTATCTACACAACATCCACGTACGCACTCAAAGCAGACTGTCCCCCCGTATGCACCATCAACACATTAACACCGACCCCATCTCCCTCCCCTCCCCCCTGGCAACCCAATCCCTACCCACCTCCCCCGCCCTCACCCAATGCACCATCCCCCTCGCCACCTTCCCCGTATACACCGGATCCAACAACACCGCCTCCTCCCTCGCCATCAACCGCACCATATCCCCCGTCTGATCATCCACCTCCCCATACGCCGTGCCCGCGAACCGCTCATCAATATGCACATCCTCCATCGTTATCTCCCTCTCCACATCCTCGATCCCGATGAGTCTTCCCGCTTGGCGCGCAAACTGCAATACTCTGTTCTCGTGGTAGCTGCGTGGGCGTGTTGGGGACGTGAGCACGCCGATGACTTTTCGTGGCGGGCGGTGGGCAGTGCTGGTATCTTTTTGTTCGTGCCTCTCGAGGAGTTTCAATCCCGCGATTAATCCTCCGTGAGTGCTGCCGCTGCCGCATGCCACGAAGATGTAATCTATTCTTCCGAGTTTGGGGGCCTCTGATAGTAGTTGTGGTTGGGTTTCCTGGTACGCTATTTCGAATGCGCATCGCGCGTAGCCCAGTCCGCCTAGGGGGTGGAGGCTTGCGCCCGAGGGGATCCAGTAGGGATGTTTGTTTTCGGATTGGAGGGTTGTGAAGAGGGTGTGGACTTCATCTTGGTCCTCGTCTTGATCTTGATTTGTAGAAGATGTGGATGTTGAGACGGTAGCTGAATCCAAGACCCTCACATCAGCCCCTAACAACTTCGCAACTTGGACATTCCCTGTCCTCTCGAACAGACTCTTGTCTGGTACTTGGGCGTACCCGCCCCCCGTCACCTTGTGGAGGATAATCACCGGCCGTGGGAGGTTCAGGTGGTTCGCGATGCTGGTTACTTGGATGGTGTGGTTGCTTTGGAGGGCGCCTTCGGTTACTAGGGTTACTTCTTCTTTATTCTGTTTGTGGTTATTTTTCTGTTGGTTTTCTGGGGATGCTGTGGTGGATGTGAGGGTTCCGTGATCGGGTCCTGGTGCTAGAGAGCCGTATTTGGGTGTCGGGGAGAGAATGTCCGGTATTAGGTACTCGAGTTTGCGGTATTTGTTGCCGCTGGAGGTTAGAGGGGAGGCGTGGTCTTCGCGTTTGAGGTGTAGGGTTATGTTTATGTTTGTGTTTATGTTTTTGTTGGTGGTGGTGAGGGTGGTCTTGGGGATAGTGTATGGGGATTGGAGGAGGGTTCTGGTTAGGGTTGGGAGTGGGTGGATGGGGGAGGGGGTTGGGTAGAGAAGGGGGTAGCGGGGGATTTGGGAGAAGGAGGTGGGGAGGGGGATCATTGTGTCTAGTGGATATAGTGGGAGTAGTATTTGTGTGACTGGGGAACTTGGAAGAAGAGAATATGAGAATTTGAGAATATAATGTTAAAAATGAGTGTGATGTTGTCAGTGTTGAGGGGAACGAATGGTGCGGAGTATATATCGAGGAGGTTGGAGTATCTGGAGGGTACGTCAATACTACAGTACTAGTAGTAGTAATAGTGTGTGGGTACCCACGAATTGGAAACTGACTTATACCAGAGTAATACAAAGATAAAAAAGATCCTACTCGAAGAGATGCAATGTTGATATCCAGATGATACGATGAATAATTGAATATCTCAACTGTGATGATGCCATAGGCGGTCAAGTTCTGCCTCTCCGCGGCGGAGATTCCCCGAATGGGAATTATCCCCTCATCAAATATCTTCGACTCAAAACAACATCATCAATCCCAATCTCACCGCACATCCTCCCTGCTAAACCGCTACAATGCCTCCTCCCGAACACAGCCTCTTCCAATTCCTCTCCAAAGCCCTCCAAACCCATCACCGCTTTCTCGCCGGCCGACTATCCCGCGCCGAATCCCCCATCTACGTCATCGGCAACCCCTCCGCCGACCTTGACTCCATCATCTCCGCCATTGTCTATGCTTCCTTCGCCCATCCCCGGCCTCACGTCCCCCTAATCAACCTCCCTACCATCCCCGCAGGTCCCGAACTGCGCCGTCTTCGTCCCGAATTTATCAAATCCCTCTGGCTCTCCACGCACCCCCCAGTCCCCGACGAAGAAACATGGTCCGACACGCCCGAGTCCGCCGGCCCTCTTCTCCAAGAACACATCCTCACCGTCTCCGACTTTGCAACTCACCTCCAAGAATACAACCACAACAATAATCAATTAACCGCCGACGCCGTCCTCGTCGACTGGAACGCCCTCCCTATCCGCTCCCCCAACCAACCTCGAGGCCAAGGCTCCCTCCCCACGCTCCCCAACCTCACCTTCACCGTCCTCGGCTGCATCGACCACCACGTCGACGAGCACTTCCTAGCCCCAATCACAGACCCAGACCAGCCCTTCCTCCTCCAACCCGCCGGATCATGCACCTCGCTCGTAGTCAACATGTTGGATAAAATGGACCGCTGGCGACGCACCTCCTCCACCACCTCCACCCCTGCGGAGCTATCATCCGAACTCCAATTAGCGAAGCTAGCCATGAGCGCCATCCTCATCGACACGGCGAACTTCACCGCGAAGGAGAAGGTCACGGACTCGGATACGCTCGCATATAGTTTCCTCAGATCGAAGATCAGTGCGATTTCGGATCGAGATGGGGATGCGGCTGGGAAGCCCTGGGATCATAATAAGTTCTATGAGGAGGTGGTGGCTGCCAAGCAGGGAAGTTTGGATTTGTTGACTGTTTCGGAGGTCTTGGAGAGGGACTATAAGGAGTGGAGGGAAGTGCCTTCTTCTTCTTCGAAGAAGAAAGAGGGAGAGGGAGAAGGGGAGGGGGTGAAGATTGGGATTTGTTCCATGGTGCGGTCGTTGCCGTGGTTGGAGAGGAAAGCGGGCGGGAGGGGGGCCCTACTTGATGCTGTGGTGGATTATGCGAAGAGGGAGGAGTTGGATGTGGTGATGGTGATGACGGCGTTTAGTGGTGCGGAGGGGAAGTTTTGTCGGGAGTTGTTGGTGTGTGCGACTGGGGAAGGTGGTGTGCGTGGAGTGGAGGTGTTTGAGGAGCAGGCGGGTGTGCAGTTGGGGTTGGAGAAGTGGAGGGTGTTGGATGGAGATGAAGAGAGCAAGGGGAGTGAGTTGGGGGATGTAAGTGGAGATGATGACCAGTTGTGGAGGAAGTGGATCTGGGTGCAGGAGGATGTTACGAAGAGTAGGAAACAGGTGGCGCCGTTGATTAGGGACGCAGTGAAGTCTTTGTAACTTAGTATTTACTTTGTATATCTCTTGGGTATATAAGCTTTCTGAATATAGCTTTCTGAATATATAGATGGATGGATATAATTGGGTTGATTGTGCAATTGCTTTGCTCCAGCCATGTCGAAATCAAGTATGGTTCTATATCTATCTTCAAAATCGATTGACTGCGATTGATGATGGATAATGCCCAGTGAGCCAGTACACAATGCTCCAGCACAACACATAATAGATACAACAACACAACACAACTGAAGAGAAAAGAACCAATCTCAATATATCCCAACTTGATTCACAGCACCAACCGAGTCTAGTCATGCTTCTAGATCGTAGCAGTAAGTTCATTGCAAATCGAATAAAGCTCCAAACAGCCATATCATCAGACATGATGCCCCATAACTCAGAAACCATAATGCATGAAAACATGAAATAAGATTGTTGAAACAGTCAAGAAGGAAAAGAGAAGAAAAAAAAAAGAATAACACCGGCGCCATCATGGTCTTTCCGGAAACGCCTCAATATGATGGTAGTAACATGTAGGGGTAGATCACGTCCTGCTGCCCCTTGATGATGTCCTGGTACAGATGCCAGTCCCGGACCGGATGCAATGCTGTCAATTAGACAAATGTCGATGATGAAGTCTCCGTAGATGAACACAAATAAAAGATTAGATTACAGTCGCGTTTGCTTGGCAAATGTTCCCAAATGCAAGCCCGGCAGTTGGGGATTTTGGTCAGTAACACTCCCATTCGCAAAAGACACACCATCGTGCAACTCGGTCGGCCAGTACCAAGCCTCGCCACACGCCGCGCTCGCCAATCTTGATCACCGTCTCCCAGACACTGCCGTCTGCCGGAGCATCGGTGAATGCGTGCGTGCCTGTATGAGGGCTGAGCATATGCTCGGGCTTCCGCGTCAAACGCAGGATCTTGCCTGATGGAGACTGAATCGCCAGCTTGGCCGGCTTTTCGCGTCCAGACATCGAACGGCCGGATGAAATAGCCGATGTTGAGGCGGAGAACTCGTTGGACACCCCGGACACCGTGGAACCGCCCGCGGAACTGGAAACCATACTTAATGCGCTCGCAGGCCGGGTAAAGACCGACGGTGAGACACGCCCACTGACACCAGCCTCATTGCTGCCGGACGACAAAGCCGGGGAGGCCGGGTGTTGGCGCACAGCAAAAACGAAGGTGTTGTTGACCGCCAGCTTCGCACACTGCGGCTGCATGATGTAGAGATCATGTCGCTGAGCGTGAGGGGTCGGATGGCGCAGCACAAAGTCGTACGGCGGGTTATCGCTGCTGTGGAGCATGGGAAGGGCAAGAGCCAACGGGTGGGGAATATCACGACTGGAGTGCATCAGTCCCTTCTTGCCGGCGTACACCTTGACTGTGCCCTGTCCTTCATCGCCGGGCAGGATGGCTTTCACCGTAATCCGCTTCTGTCCACTGACCCAGTCAGGCTGCACCAGCGCGCGCTTGCGCACAACTTCGCCGCTTTCGAAGAAATCACCATCGGCGTCACGGGCAAACGCTGGGGCTTCCACCTCGGCCGCACATTCCACGTCCGGGGGCACCGAAAGGCGAATCTGCATGACTTCCAAGCCGTCAATTCGGATGATGCTAGTATCATAATCGGGGAATTGCATATTCAGCTTGAAATATGGTGGGCAGGCCGCCGGGAGGGTCAGCAGAACGTCTGGCGAAATAGGCGGGCAGATGTGCTGCTCTTCAGGAGCAAGAGGAACATGCGTATAGCAAATCTCCAAGGGTCGTGCCAGGAAATACCAGCTTTCGGCCACGGAAGTGTTATTGGTGACGAACTGGTTCCGTCGCGGATTCGTAGGGCTGGCCAGCGAACAGTCCATGATGCGCCATTCGCCATCCACGAGCACCGAGTTCCACCAATGGTTGGGTCGCGAGAGGCCGTCCAGGTCAAACATCTCCCCAGGGCCTTTGAGGAACCCATTGATCGCTTCAGCGTGGAGACCGACCGCCGCACACATCTCCTTGACCAGATAGGCCACTTCTTGGGGACTGCCTCTTTTCGTCTGCAGCACCCGCCTCAAATCGATGCCGATCTCTTCAACCGGGTCATCCCACGCGATCTTTTCGCTCACCCAAGTAAAGATGGCGCGCAGCCTCTGGACATCACTCTTATAAGGGCGGCAGACATACCCGTGCGCCAAACTCGCCGGATTCGTCATTGGGGGAAGACTGTTGACAAAACGCGCGCTCTTGTCCACAAGATTCAGGTTGACACTGGCGAAGTTGGTCGGCTCACTGATCGGCAAGCCGTCAATGCTTTCATCGCCTTCCGCCGTCTCGTAGAGTTCCTCCACCGAATAGATCACAGGGTGGTCCATCATTTGGCATCTTTCAGCCCGTTCAATTCTCTCGTTTCGACTGGGTGAGCTTGCACGGTTTACATCGCGACGGACTTGTACCCAGTCGATGGCGCTGGTGCCAGGCCCCATTTCGCGGGCAGAGTCCCGGCTGGATTGCAGAGCACGGATTGGCGAGATTCCTCTGCCCTTAGTGGGCGATGAAGATCCACCATTGTGCCCGACTGCGATGCTGCTCCTCGCGTTGGCAGCACCTGTCTTCGCTGACTCAAATATCTTTTTGAAGAACCCTGGCTTCTTGGCCTTTGGTGTGGAAAGGCCACCGAACACAGCGGTCGGCTCTTCTGCGCCGCCTTCACCGGACGACCAGGGTATGGCAGATGACGCACCTTGCCGGGAGGTATTATGGCTGGAATGGTACGATACACCGGTCAACGGCGTTTCGGGCCTTGCCACCCGGGAGACATCGCTGAAGCCTCTTGAGCGGAACGTGTCGACTGCCGTGTTTGGTCTTTCGGCCGGAGTGGTACCTCTCCTGGCATAACTACCCGCACTGGTCGCGCTGAATCCACCGGCTGAGGGCCCACTCATGATGCTTTGGCTGGTTCTCTCGGTGCTTCCCGTCTGTGTCGTACTCGTACTGTGCACCCCGCTCGAAGAGTTCGTCGTGCTGGACTTGTTGGTATATGACCGGTTGAGCAAGTCCCCGCGGAGATCTTGGCCGGACCTCCGTCCTCTTACCACTGGGTACTGGGCGGGGATCGAATTATGCCGGGCATGGTAGGGTACGTTTCTTGGAGGAGGTGGTGGGGCTTCCTCATCAGAATGTTGCGCTTCCTCAGCCTCCCTTTGACTCTGCTCTTGCATCTGCCGAAGTCGACTTTCCATCCTCTGTACATAGTTGTTCAATTGTGGCGGACCGTCCATGTAGGGATCATGTGCGTAGACGCTGTTTCTATGAGTCTGACTGCCATGATATTGGTACTCCTTGTCTCCATCAAATCCCAGAGAGGTTAGCGGCCGACGAGTGGTTTGTATGGGCCGAGTTTCACGGAAGCTATCATATGCGTCCGGTGACCACGGGTTGTTAAACATCGGCTGCGGCGACGGTGACTGTCCGCCTCGGGGCAGCCCCATATCCTCCAATGAAGTCATCACGTCTTCCATCGCATCACGAAGGGGCGACGGGGTGTGTCCGCGGCCCTCGGAATGGGCAGCCGGTGATGGCGTCCTTGACATTGTGACAAAACGATCATTCATGTCCAGGCGTGTGGGAACGTGTGATTCGATGGACGGTTGACGATTGACAGCAACTCTGTGTGGTGGTGGGGGTGGCGGGGGCGGCGAATCTTCTCTCTCGTGCAGCTGAAGTGGAGATATTTCGCGTGAGGAGGGCCGGTGTAGAGATATGCTGTGTCTCGGAACCTGAGGAGGCATAAGGTCTACGTCATCAGGCGGGTATGGGGACGCTGCACGAGACGCAGGTCTCTGGATTGCAACCTCCATAGGAGGGAGAGATGGAAGCTGGTAATCGATAGTTGGCGGAGGAGCTGGCGATACTGCACGAGGAGGAGGAGGTCCGGGGCGTGGTGCACTTTGCACAGGTGGGATGGAAGGAAGGTGGAGTTCTGGGTCTGGCGGATGGGGCGACACTCCGCGAGAGGGAGGTCTTGACCGGGCCATGTATGTCCCAGGAAGGGTGGACGAAAGTTGGGGATCTGATTCGGCTGGAGGATGCGGGGACATCGCACGGGACAAAGGCCTGGACCGGGATACGGGCCTCGATAAAGAGCTCTGATGCTTTACAGCGGTTGTTGGGGTGCGCAGTGGCTTCACCTTCCGCGAGGAAAGGCTGCCATCTCGGGGTGGAGTTTGTGGGATCGTACTGGTCACTGGCGATGAGGAGGTCGAGCTCCGGGATAGCTCACCCGAAGGCGCAAGAGCTTCTTTATGGGCTTGGAATGGCTTCCGAAAGACCGTTTTCTGTTTCTTAGGAGCCGAAGTTGGATTCGTGATCGGCGACGAGGCAGGTGGTAGCATGGGGCTCGTTGACCGTTGCACAGGTACGAAATCCTCCCTGAGCACTTCAACGAAGTTGGAGGGGAACAACCCCATCATGCGCCTGTCTCGCCGCAATCGGCCCATCCACCACTGACCATCGCCAGCATTTAGGCACTCAATGAGGTCGCCCTCCACAAATCCCAAGTCGCGTTTCGTTTCTCCACCCCATGAATATATTGCCCGACACCAGCAAGGGAATCGGGTCGGGAGCTGGGGTGCGGCGGGGGCCATTGCGGCTGAAGTGACCGAGCACGAGCGGACCGGAGATCGACTACTACCACCACCGCTGATTGCTTGCCAGAGCGGACGTCAGATTGCTGGAGAAAACGATCGAAGATGCAATTGACGTGTCAGAAGATTCGGTATGATGCAGTATCGGGGTCGGATCGAAGTATCAACGGGGTAGGAAAATCAAAGGGCGAATATAGTTACAAGCGCACCGTCGCTGAACGAGAGACAATAACGGAAGCATTAAGGACCGGGTAACGGAGCTGTAGACCAACACATGGCAAGAAAGGAAAAACAAAAACAAGGGAAGAGTAGCACGCCGAAACGCGAAGAAGGGGGGCGGAAGGTTCAGCGTGGGATGCGACACGCTTTAGGTTAAAGGGAGGGGGGGGGAGCTTGGGTTGGTTAGTGAGTGGAGGAGAGAGTGAGAAGCTAGGGAAGGGGGGAAGAGAAGAGCGAGAGAGCGAGAGAGAGAGAGAGAGAGATGGACTTGGAACTCAAGGGAAACTGGACGGTGAGGCCGATCGATGTTTTGGTGTTTACGTGGGCTCCGCTTCGGGACTAGTCCCTCCCTTATCGATAAGCTTATTACGCACAGTCCTCTTTACTAGTCACTAGTCAACTAGTATTATCCTCTTCCTCTAGAGTTTACATCGATTTCTCTCCCTTTATAACTCAGTACCCTGGATGATGTCAGTTCAACATACCAATAACCAAACTCATTCTGAATCAACCATAGGTCATACGAAGCTCCAAGGTACTCCGCGCGTGGCTACTAGGGTCTCCCTCCCCCAAGATGAGGATCCATGGTTGTACCTCCGCTACCCGCTGTACCACCCAGAGAACATTCACCCCTGGGTTGCCAATCAACTTGTGTTTCATCTATGGGTTACTACTTGCGGCGCAACTCACTATTTGTACCCACCTCAAAGAGAAACCAGTG